AGGGTCATGGATTGTTAGCACAACACTATCAAGTCTCAAAGCAAGTTCATACTTCCTGGACTGGTTTTGACTCAATAAAACAAGAAATCATGAAACAAAGTAAATAAAACATAAGAAAAGAAAGAAAAATGCATTAGTAACACAATAAAACTCCCCCCATACTTAACTTGCACCGTCCCGGTGAAAGCAAATCACATTAAGGTGAGAGGTAAAATTCAAAGTAGAAGAAAAATAAAGAAAAGAAATAAAAAGAAATGACCTTCAATGGGTTGCCTCCCATTTAGCGCTGTCCTTAAAGTCATTAGCTTGACTGTATGGCACTTTTTAAGGATTTGGTGGGTCGCCAAGAGTGAGTGTGGTCTTTGGCGGTATTGTGGCGGAGGCTAAGTAGGGTTTTAACCTTTGCCCATTGACTGTGAAGTCTCCTCCCATTGGGTCCCATAGTACCACTGCTCCATAGGGGTGAACTTCTTTTATTCTAAATGGTCCTCACCATCTTGAGCGAAGCTTTCACGGAAAGAGTCTCAACCGTGAATTAAACAATAGAACTTGGTCGTTGGGCGCGAAGTTCTTTGGAATGATCTTGCGGTCATGGAAAGCCTTGGTTCTCTCCTTATAAATCTTTGAATTCTCATAAGCCAAATGTCGAATCTCATCAAGCTCATTTAGCTGAATCAATCTTCTTTCTCCTGCTGTCTTTAGGTTGAAGTTCAATTTTTTAATGGCCCAAGCTGCTTTGTACTCCAGCTCTACAGGTAAATGACAGGCTTTACCATAAACAAGGTGAAAGGGAGTGGTACCAAGTGGTGTTTTGAAAGCAGTGCGATATGCCCATAGAGCATCATCTAGTTTGGCACTCCAATCCTTCCTTGTCTTTCCTGTTGTCTTCTGAAGTATACTCTTTAGTTCTCTGTTTGAGATTTCGACATGTCCACTAGTTTGAGGGTGGTAAGGAGAGGCGACTTTGTGAGTAACTTCATGCTTCTTCAAAAGATTTGCAAAGATTCTGTTGATGAAATGCGACCCTCCATCACTTATGACTATTCTAGGTACTCCAAACCTTGGAAAGATGATGGATTCCCCTCTGTTGTGGCTGCTCACAAGAGGATTGGGCTCCTTCAAAAGTTCAACAAATGGCAAGGGAAGGCCATTGAAAAGATGCAAAAGTTCATGGACAAGATGGTGAGCAAGATCAAGAGTTTGGAGAAGAAAGTCTCTGGTTCTTCATCCAAGAAGAAGAAGGCAACCATGGCCCCCACATTCCCAATGAGTACATCTCTCCTCACCACTCCAAGGAGGATTCCTGCCAAAGAGCCTCACAGAGCCTCATCATTTGAGCCAAGGGAAGGAGAAGACAACTCGCAGAGGAGGAGGAAGAGTTCCAAGGCTCGACGCTCCAGCTCGACCACAGGACTCGATCGAGTCCAAACAGAGGAAACTCAACTCCATCGAGCTGATGGTCGAGTCGGTCTTGAGGAGTCAGGATTCGAGTACCCTGGGTTCGAGTACGATCCAACACCTTACCAGGAGTATCCTCAGAGCAGGTGGAACCCCTATGGACAGTTCGAGCTAGCCATGCTCCACCAAGGCCAAGGGAGCCACACACACTTCAATGAAGAAGAGGAAGAAGAGGAGCCGCAAGCTCAATCGAGCGGCGTGAACCCGGCCGAGTGGAGCGTCCCTGACGGCCGTCTGCCCTCTCCTGACCATGACCTTGCCTCCCAGATCTTTGGGGGGCACTGAGGTATCAAACACCAACCATTGTACATACCATTTCATATTTCTTGCATTTGTTTTTATTTCTCTTGGTTTTTGCCTCTTGAATCTTTCACTAAATTTCTCTCACACAAGGGACTGTGTGATTTAAGTTTGGGGGAGGGTTCAAGAGATGATTTAACCTTGCATATGTATGCAAATGCAACCTAAAACTACTATGAATGCATAAGAAGAGAAAAGGAACAAGATATGATGCTAATGGAATGCTAAAACTATGCAAAAGATGCATAAAAGATGTGCTAAAACTATGTAAAATGCAAGTACATCAACACCCCCAAACTTGAACTTTGCTTGCCCTCAAGCAAACAAATAGAACAAGAAAGAGATGAGGTTTGAAAAAAATTGATTCAACACTTAAAAACATGTCCTCAAAAGCGATTTGCTAAATGTCCAACTTAGAGATTCTAGAATGCAACAAGGTGAGAGATATTCATTAAGATTTAACCATGCTTATCAACATCAATCCCACTTCACAGTCACTCAAACAATGCATTCAAATCAGCAAATCCCTTTAACATTCATTAAGCAAAAACAGTGAACCAAAAACATGCAAGATCAATCAACTCATTTGGTTTCAAGGGTTTATGGGTTAAGAGACAAAGAGGGTCTCTTTTGTATGGTGGTTTAGTAACAGGGATCTCTCAAGAAAGTGGCTTTGCTTTGGCAGAAGGCTAAGTGTTAGAACCAAAGATGATGCAAGAACAGCAGCTCGAGCCGCCTAATCCTAACTCGATCGAGTTCAACACTTAGAGCTTTTTAGAACAAAATCCTAACTACCCTTTTTGGCATTTCGCCTTTGAAACTGAGGAGCTTTGCTCACTTTTCTTTTAAGAACATCCTAGGGAGAGGCTTCTTGAGGTAACATCTAGCGGTTTGGGATTTTCTAAACACTTAGGGAACTTTTCTTTTCTTTTTGACACTTGAGGCTTTGCCTTCTTTTCATTCTACTTAGAACCCTTTTTACTTCCTTTTTTAACTTCCCAAACCTTTACTAGACCCTTTTTAACACTGCCAACTCCCTGGACTTAACTAAACTCTTTTTCCTTTGGTTTTTCCCAATTTTTACCACTTTTCTGGTTTTTACACCCAACTCGATCGAGCTCGAGTTGGCACCCCCAAACTTAGCCTGAAAACAATCCCAAGAGAACTAGACAACTAGAACTACTGCCCCTGCCGGTTTAAACACAACACCTTATGCTAAGCAAAGCCAAGAAAGGTTCTCACATCGCACAAGAGATAATATGGGGTTTGAAATGAAAAAGGCTTAGGTTTAAGGTGGTAACTGTCTCAAAGATAGAGATCAGCTATCTGGACAAGCAAAGGGATATGAAAATAGGTAAAGAATGTCCAGATATGTATGTGGTAGCCATGAGTTGAAATCAAATGCAAGCATTGGTAATTAAAGATCAAGTTATGGTTCAAATAGATAGGGAAATGCATCAAATCACAGCAATGGTTGAATGAGATGTGCATGCAGTGATATGATCAAGATAAACATGGTTCTTGCTGCTCAATCAATCTCACCCTAATGCACAAAAGAATCTAAAAACAGGGCACTCAAGAAATCGCAAAAGATGGACAAGTTTTCAAAGTCAAATCAACAATGCAAGTGAAAGATGCAATCCTAAACAAGTCTAACAAATATGAATGCAAAAAGATGAAAATATTTTTGGATTTTTTGAAAATTTTATGATTTTTTTGGTTTTTCTATGCAAAAGATGAATGAAAAACTAAGAACAAAGAAAACAAGGTTAAATCATCTCTTGAACCCTCCCCCAAACTTAAATCACACAGTCCCTTGTGTGAGAAAAATTTAGTGAAAGATTCAAGAGGGCAAAACCAAGAAAAAAAAGAACAAATGCAAGAAAATATGAAATGGTATATACAAGGGTTGGTGTTTGGATACCTCAGTGCTGTGGGTTCGGAAAACTACACTCAAAATTTTTGTGTATTTTGTAGGGAGAAATTGCCTGTGGAATCAGAGGTTAGATTCTGATGTAAGTCGAATGATTCGTAGACAAATATTTGACGAAATCGGACTTAGGCTAATCGAATAAAGTGGTTACAAAACCGGCCTAAAAGACCATGTAAAACACTAAGATTTGACTAAGCAAACGAGATGGAAATGAGGTGGTGGTTGCACTCGTTAACGAGCTGCCTACGTACCCTGCTTTAAGGATCAAGCCAGAACCTTGTTCGATTGTAAGTTGTTCTCTATTTCGGGTTGTTTTCTGAAGAGAAATGACCACGAAAAGAGGTAAAGGGGTGTGAAGATGACGATAAGTCTCAGGTTATCGGAGTGATCCGAAGGTAAGAGATTACGTCAAACTTCTGCCGGAAGTGATTTCCGGCTAGAAAGATCAGGGCTTTCTAGGGTTATCTCGAAGATCAAGGATAAGATCGAAGAGAAAAGATATGAGAATATCTCAAGACGAAGAAGAAGAACTTCACTCTATTTCAGCTGTGAAAAGATGATGAGAAGAACTTGTGCAGTGATTTTTTATCAAAGGAAATCTTGTCTCCTAAAGACTTGTTTCCAAAAGAACATTCTCTGCCTTGTGATCAAGAATTGTTCTCCTTTTATAGCTCTGAAGTAGATCGCAACCTCCTCCGCGTATCTCGTCCACGTGCAACTACCGATCCCGCTATTTCCGGATCTAAACGGTCGAAGCGAGATTCTCGTTTGACTCGTTCAAACTCGGCTTTCGGACTTGACTCTGTCGAGCTACAGCTCGACTTCGTCTTCACAAGTAGCTCGGACAGTAAACAGCTGGTGTTGGACAAAGATACTTGGTGGGCTCGAGGTCATTTTACTGGGCCTGGATGGACTTATCTTGACCTTAGGGCTTAGGTGATGGGTCTTATGGGCCGGATTTCTGGAGGGAAATCCAGGTCCAACAAGTGCCCCCCAAAGAACTGGGAGGCAAGGTCGTGGTCTGGAGAGGGCAGGCGTCCATCAGGAGCACTCCACTCGACTTCATTTGTGCAGCTCGGTCGAGCTTGCTCTTCCTCTTCTACCACCTCTTCATCCTCGAAGTGGGTGTGGCTTCCTTGGCCCTGGTGGAGCCTGGTTTGCTCGAAGCGGTTGTAAGGGGTCCAGTGGCTCTGAGGATAGTCCTGGTAAGGTGCTGGATTGTGCTCGAATCCAGGGTTCTCGAATGAAGGCTCTCCCAGGTCAACTCGATCGCCAACTCGATCGAGTCCGCTGATCGAGTTGGAGCATCGTCCCTTGGAACTCTTCCTCCTTCTCTGCGTGTTGTCTCCTCCTTCCCTTGTTTCAAAAGATGAGGCTCTGTGGGACTCTTGGACAGGAAGCCTCCTTGGAGTGGTGAGGAGAAATCTACTCCTAGGGAATGTAGGAGCCTTGGGTGTCTTCTTCTTCTTGCTTGAAGAACTAGAGACCTTCTTCTCCAAACTCTTGATCTTGCTCACCATCTTGTCCATGGACTTTTGCATTTTGTCCATGGCCTTCCCTTGCCAATTGTTGAACCTTTGGAGAAGTCCAATCCTTTTGTGAGCAGCCACAGCAGAGGGGTTCATCCTTGGAGCCTCATACTCCTCGAGATAGTAACACTCAGGCTCACCCAATTCCGCATTCACTTGAGCGTGGTCCTCAACTCGATCCTCAACTCGATCGAGTTCAGGCTCCTCTTCTTGCAACTCCTCTTCATGCCCAACTAACGTGTGAAGTGGAGGGCTGAAGTCAATGTTGTTACCTCTCATAGACGCTAGGAACTCACAAGTGAGCTCCCTGTATGACTCCATAAGATGAGAGAAGAATCTGGCCAAGCGCATGTTCTTAAGGACTAGTTCCACATTTTAGTTTTAAAGGAGAAGCAGCCGTCTGTATATCACGTTTTTCGAGGCAGAGAAGGAGAAAGGCGATTTTGAGAGTTCCTGGAAAAATCCGATTTTACTGTTATGATATTTAATGGACTGTTCATATATTTATGAATGTTCAATTGATGTTTGTCTTTTCTTTTTCTTGGTTTCAATTATTGTCAATTTAATTGATTTGATTCTGGTTAATTAGTTAATTGAATTTAATGGTTTTAATTAAATTTAGATTTATTTCGGATTTAATTAATTAATAATTATTTAATTAATTAATTATTTAAAATATTATTTTAATTATTTTAAAATATGGAAAATTATTATTTAATTATGAGAATTATTTAATAATTGAGAAATTGAGTTTTAATTATTAAAAATTATTTAATAATTGGAAAATGGTATTTAATAATTATTGAGTTTATAAATATTATTAAATATCTAGTAAATTGCGTAAATGGCTCGTAGGCAGAGTGATTGCCTCACTAAGTATTTATTAAATACTTACGCAACTCCATTCCAATGTGTTGCAGGTAAAAGATTTGTGTGATCGCGGAATCAAGGCTGAAGAGGGGGATGATAGGATGTTTACTGTTTTATTGTTTTGCATTATTTTGCTAGACTTGTTTAATTATTATTTGCTTCCGCTGAGCTGATTTATTTGTTATTGATATTTTATTTATTTAATTTATTTTAAAGACCTTCGCTAGAATTGATTAATATTTATTAAAAAAAAAAATGTTGGTTGTTTCATTTTGGTATCAGAGCCTAGACGGTTTTAGGACTGTTAGAATTGTAGGCTTTAGTATCATCCCCTTCAGCTACAAGAGATTCCGCGGTGAGTTTATGTTTGTTTTGAGTTTTGGTTGCGTGTTCTAGTGTGCTCTTTTCGGTTCCATGAGTGAGATGGACTGAGTAGCTAGAGGTTGTGGCGCGAGAGGGCGCGGTGCTGAGGCCGTGGTGGCAGAGCTAGAGGCCGTGGAGGTCGGGGCCGAGATTGTGGACTTCGGCGGATTCGGGAGAGAGTGTGGTGCCTAGTGTGGCGACTGCGTCGGTGACCCAGTCGGTATCCGTGGCGAGTGAGGCCAGTGTGGATGCGAGTGTTGGTTTGGGAGCGGGGGCTGCTCCGGGTTGGGGTGGTGCTCGGCTCAGGGTCTTGATGACTTAGTGGTGGGTTTGCTGACGCAGTTATTGGCTCGTTTTCCGCCAGTGGTTCCACAGGGGGCTCCGGGAGTACCTCCTAGTGGCAGAGGTGCAGCAGAGGGCTGCGGGTTTTGTTCAGCTGCAGGCTGTGGGTTTGATGGTGCCGTCCTACTTGGATATGTTGGGGCACATGCAGAGGATTGGTACGCCGTACTTTGAGGGCGGAGTTAGCCCAGAGGCGGCAGATGAGTGGCGTCAGAGATTGGAGCGGAATTTCCAGTCTATCAGATGTTTGTTTAGTACCAGGTTGAGTTGGCAGTCCACTATCTGAGTGGAGATGCACATTTGTGGTGGTGGGCCATCGAGGGCATAATGGTTGTTGTTGCTGTGTGTTGTTCATTTATCTGTGATAAAATTGTGGAGGTTCTCAACGCAATTGAATGTGTAGGGACCTTGTTAGTGGGCGGTTTTGAGTCCCACGTTTTATTCGACTCTGGAGCATCGAATTGCTTCATTACACCGGAGCGTGCCGAGAAGAGTGGCATCCGGAGTAGCGCGGGCGAGAGCGCGGGCATGGTCAAGGTGGCGGGAGGTGGATTCTTGTCTACTTTGGGCCGTGCTAGAGGAGTCGAGATCGAGATTGCGGGGCAGTCAATGCCAGCAGACTTAGTCATCAGTCCGGTGGAGCTGTATGACGTTATTCTCGGGATGGACTGGTTGTCACACTACAGAGTTCATCTGGATTGCTACAGAGGTAGAGTGGTCTTCGAGCGAGATGCAGGGAGGTTGGTTTATCAGGGAGTGAGACCGACTTCCGGGAGTATTGTGATATCTGCTATTCAGGCCGAGCAGTTGTTAGAGCGGGGCTGTGAGGCGTATCTGGCGACGATTTCTATGTCTGAGTCAGGAGCTGGAGTTGTTATGGGAGATATTGAGGTTGTCCAGGATTTTGAGGATGTCTTTCAGTCACTGAAGGGATTACCACCATCTCGGTCTGATCCTTTCACGATTGAGTTAGAGCCGGGGACAGCACCGATATCGAAGACGCCTTACAGGATGGCGCCAGCTGAGTTGGCAGAGCTGAAGAAGCAGATAGAGGACCTTTTGTCTAAGGGGTTCATTCGACCAAGTGTTTCACCGTGGGGAGCACCGGTGTTGTTTGTGAAGAAGAAGGATGGAGTTTCAGACTTTGTATTGATTACAGAGGTCTTAACCGAGTCACTGTGAAGAACAGGTACCCACTCCCGAGGATTGATGAGTTACTGGATCAGTTGAGGGGTGCTACTTGGTTCTCCAAGATTGACTTGGCATCGGGGTATCATCAGATCCCGATAGATGAGGCAGATGTCAGGAAGACTGCTTTCAGGACGCGTTATGGGCATTTTGAGTTCGTGGTTATGCCTTTCGGTTTGACTAACGCGCCGGCAGCCTTCATGAGATTGATGAACGACGTGTTCAGGGAGTATTTGGATGTGTTCGTCATCATTTTCATTGATGATATTCTGGTATACTCGAGGAGTCAGGAGGAGCATGCGACTCACTTGAGGTTGGTTCTGGAGAAAGCTTCGGGAGCAGAAGCTTTTCGCTAAGTTGAGCAAGTGCAGTTTCTGGCAGCGAGAGATGGGATTTCTTGGCCACATTGTTTCTGCAGAGGGAGTTTCTGTGGATCCGGCTAAGATTGAGGCTATCAGAGATTGGCCTAGACCTAGTAGTGCCACCGAGATCAGGAGTTTTCTGGGTTTGGCAGGATACTACAGGAGGTTCGTCAAGGGGTTTGCTACCATGGCGCAGCCGATGACGAAGTTGACCGGGAAGGATGTCCCTTTTATTTGGTCAGCTGAGTGTGAGGAGAGCTTTAGTCAGCTCAAGGAGATGTTGACTACTACACCAGTGTTGGCGTTACCCGAGCCAGGGAAGCCTTACATGGTGTATACAGATGCTTCAGGCATTGGTCTTGGTTGTGTGCTGATGCAGGAGGGCAGAGTGATAGCATATGCTTCGAGACAGTGGCAGGGCAGTGAGCGTAACCGTCCTACACATGACTTAGAGTTGGGAGCAGTGATCTTCGCGTTGAAGATTTGGAGGTCTTACTTGCTAGGTGAGACAGTACAGGTCTTCACGGATCACAAGAGTTTGCAGCATATCTTCACTCAGCCGATGATGAACGCGAGACAGACGCGCTGGGTTGAGTTCTTGGCGGATTATCAGGTGAGCATTAACTACCATCCGGGCAAGGCTAACCTAGTGGCGGACGCGTTGAGTAGACGGAGGTATGATTCCGCAGTTGAGCGAGATGTGGAGTCTGGCTAGTGGGTGGAGATCAGATCTACTTAGCAGGATCAGAGTTGCTCAGCAGAGTGATCAGAGTTTGCTAGATGCGACGAGAGTGACTGGTTCTGAGTATGAGGTCTCTGCGAATGGGACTATCTTGGTTCGTGGGCGAGTTTGTGTGCCTAAGGATGTGGAGTTGAGACATCAGATTTTGAGAGAGGCTCACGCGAGCAAGTTTTCCATTCATCCGGGAGCGACCAAGATGTACCATGACCTCAAGAGGTACTATCATTGGGTCGGGATGAAGAGGGATGTAGCAGACTGGGTTGCGAAGTGCAACACTTGTGCCTTGGTGAAGGCAGAGCATCAGGTTCCGGGTGGTCTTTTGCAGAGTTTACCCATTCCAGAGTGGAAGTGGGACAGGATTACGATGGATTTCGTGGTTGGACTACCTGTTTCGGCAACGGCGCCAAATTGATGATAGGATTTGTGTGTGGTGTATGAAATGAGGTGGAATGCAAACAGGGGTGAATAAAGATGATATGGTGCAATCACAATCAACAATTCCTCTTAACCATCATAGTCATTGAAGTATAAGAGGTTATCAATCCAAAATGGGAAACTTGTCACTCTTTGAGAATATGAAACAACCAAAGTCAAGCAAGCAGTTATAGATTTGAAGTAACACTAACAACCTAAAAAAATGAAAAGCAGTGCAATAAAAGTAAACAAAGCAGTGAAGTGTCAGCTCGACCAAGAGCTCGAGTCGAGTAGAGCAAAGTACCAGCTCGATCGAGTTTAGGGACGAGTTGAGACAAACAAAGCTAAAGGTGACGACTTTAACAAGATAAAGAGAGAATTAGGGTTCAAGACAGGGTTTTGCAATCAAAGGAATCTACACTTAATCAATCTAGCTCTTAAAACTCCTTGTATCAAGGCTTCTCTTGATATTGGGCTTCTCAATGCCTAGCCAACCCTTTCCCAAGGTGGAGGCTATCAACCAAGGAATGATCTCAGAAACAGGGGGTTAGCCAGTGAGAATCAAACCTTGGAGGCTATAGGATCATTGCCCAAACTAATCCATCCAACCCCTTAGACCTCTATTGTCTAGAGCAAGAGATATTGGAGCTCTTAGTGGATCTTTTCCAGCGAATGCCATCACTTTCGTGTGGGGAGTCGCCTAAGGACTTACAAGCCAGGGGTAGTGGTCATGTAGCCTTAAGATCTATCCAAAAGAGAGAGAATCTAGATTAAGACCATAAGCTAGAAGGATTAAGCATATGAAACCTCTAATCTATCCCATCTCAAACCCCAATGGGTAACTACTCACTACACATGAATGTAAACACAAGCAAATGCAATAAAAGAGACATCATAAGAAAGAGGAGATGAAATTAAACAACTTTTATTGAAATAAGCAAGTGCAAATACAAGAGAGATTATCCAGGATCTAAGATTCAAGAAGCAAGAGCTTCAAGAACACAAAGATGGGATTAGATCTCTAAAAAGTAAAAGTACAATAAATTAAAAGAAACTAAAACAAAAGTAATCTAAAGCTTGGTGGTTTTTTCGTGGCTTAGAGCCTTTAAATACAAAGAGGATTAGGTTTAGGGTCAAAGGAAAGTCAAGGGGGAAGCAACATTTTTCGGGTTTGACTTTGACTTCCAGCTCGATCGAGTTGAAGCTTGGCCGGTCGAGTAGACGGTCGAGCTGGTCTTCAAGATGGCTTCTCCCTTCTTCCTTTGCGTATCCAGTTGAGCTGCTTCCATGTGCCAAGTCCCTCCATGCTCCTTATGTCCCATATGCTCCAGAATGCTCCAAAAGACCTATTTCAAAGGACCAAACATGCATATGTATGCAAATGCAACCTAAAACTAACATGAATGCATAAGAAGAGAAAAGGAACAAGATATGATGCAAATGAAAGCTAAAACTATGCAAAAGATGCATAAAAGATGTGCTAAAACTATGTAAAATGCAAGTACATCACCGTGATCCCAGATTCACTTCAGAGTTTTGGAGGGCGTTTCAGGCAGAGATGGGCACTAAGGTGCATCTGAGTACAGCTTATCATCCGCAGACAGATGGTCAGTCAGAGAGGACTATTCAGACTTGGAGGATTTGCTGAGGATGTGTGTGTTGGATTGGGGTGGCCATTGGGCAGATCACCTGAGCTTAGTTGAGTTTGCATACAACAACAGCTTTCAGGCGAGTATTGGCATGGCTCCATTTCGAGGCTTTGTATGGGAGGCCATGTAGGACACCCCTATGCTGGACCCAAGTGGGGGAGCGCAGCATGTATGGAGCTACTTATGTTCAGGAGACGACAGAGAAGGTTCGTGTTGTGAGGCTGAACATGAAGGAGGCTCAGGATAGGCAGAAGAGTTATGCAGATAGACGCAGACGAGAGCTTGAGTTTCAGGTTGGAGATAGAGTTTATCTCAAGATGGCTATGTTGAGGGGTCCTAACAGATCCATAGCAGAGAACAAGCTGAGTCCGCGATTTATGGGTCCGTTTCCAGTAGTGGAGCGAGTTGGGCCATTGGCTTACAGGCTGGAGTTGCCTGAGATTATGAAAGCCTTTCACAAGGTTTTTCATGTGTCGATGCTGAGGAAGTGTCTTCATCCTACAGAGGAGTTAGTGGCTAGGATTCCAGAGGATCTTCAGCCAGATTTGACCGTGCCGGCAGTGCCTGTGAGGATTTTAGAGAGGAGGGAAAAGGTTCTGAGGAACAAGAGGATTCCCTTACTTAGGATTTTGTGGGATTGCAGTGGTTCTACAGAGGAGACTTGGGAGCCAGAGGCAAAGATGAAGTTGAAGTTCAGGAAGTGGTTCGACAAGCAGGTCGAGGAGTGAGCTTATTTCATCTTTGTAGCCTCAGTTGTTATTTTTGGCTTTGGTGTTATTGTATTTTCGTTTTCGTTGTAACGATATACATTTTGGAGTTTTAATGAGATGCAGTTTTTCCTCATTTTGCCTTGTGTTGTGAAATGGTATTCGGATGTTACACATGTTTGACCAGTTTTTGGTTGTGAGACGGTCTAATCTTATGGTTATAGACATTTTCCGGAATTTTTACTCTAAGGATTGCGATCCTGAATAACTCATCATGTTTTTGGAGACTTCGTTCTCTGGCAGACTCTCTGGGTGCAAGTAGGCCTCAGTTGAGTGTAGCTTATCTGGGTGCAAGTAGGCCTCAGTATAAGCAGTTTAGTTCATCTGGGTGCAAGTGGGCCTCAGTATGGACGTTTCGGGTTCGTCTGGGTGCAAGTGGGCCTCAGTGCGGACCGGTGTGGACTTGTCTGGGTGCAAGTGGGCCTCAGTACAAGTTGTTTTGGTGTGTTTGGATGATGAGTTAGGAGTGAAATTTTCTTGGAACGTGTTTATGACATAGATTGACGTTTGTCTCGGGGATCAAGTGAGGATCTCCGGTGTTGCGGCCTTGCGAGGTGGGTTTTGTGGTCTTTGTGACGTTTGTTGGGATTCGAGGTCGAATCCAGTTTAGTGGGGGAGAGTTGTAACATCCATAAACCAAAAATAAAAATTGATTTTGTCGGTTCAATTTAAGTGAATTGGTTTGGGTCGGTTTAGGGTGGAGAAAGCCCTAAAATCAAGTTTAAAGAGAAGCAGCCGTCTCTTTCAGTTTTTCGAGTTCAGATGCTGTAGAGGAGAAAAGTTGAGTTTTTGGAGAGTTTTCAATTTTACTGTTCATCGGTAACTGTTCATCGGGTATTGTTCATCGGGGACTGTTCATCGGTACTGTTCATCGGTTACTGTTCATCCGCGATTCGGCACTGTTCATCGTCTTCCTTTTTCCTTCAGTTTCAATCAATTGTCAAGGTGAGTGCATGACTGTGGGTCCGCGATTTGCTAGATTAGATTTGGTTTGTGGTTGTTCTTGATGAGTTTATGTGTTTAATTGTTATTTCATGGTATTTTGGTTATTTCTGTGATGAATTGTGTGTTTGTGTGGTTTAATCTGGTTTAGTTGAATTAATTGATTTAATTGGTTTATCTTGGTTTAAATTGATTTGATTCTGGTTAATTAGTGTAATTGAATTAAAATGTTTTAATTCAAATTGTTTGATTTATTTTCGAATTTAGTTAATTAATAGTTAATTTAAGAGAGAATTTCCACATATAACCCGAAATTTGTTTTTTTTCTATAACCATAACCCGAAACTTGAATGTATTGCAAAACTAACAAAGGTCACCCTCATGAACAAACAAAAAAAATTTGCCGCGATTACCAAATTAACCCGGAGCGTAGGTCTACGCTTGCTGTCTACGCTTGCTGTCTACATATAGACTTTTATAGTTAGTCTATGTTGTAATTCAATTTTATATTTTAAATTGGGAAAAACAAAAAAAACATTTTGATGAAACAATTTGCATACATAAATCATAAATAGTAATTTGCATCTTGGAAAATTATAATTGCATACAAATGAGTCAAATTAAACTAACATAGGCAAATTAGTTTGGAAAGCTGTAAAAACGTAAGAGGTCTACGGATGAGGTCTACCGTTTAATTAAATGAAACTTTTAATTTATAAAATAAATAGAAAATATTTAGATGAAAAATTTGTATTCATAAAGAAGACAAAGACAATTAGAATTCATATAAAATAAACATACATGTTAATAAGTGAATTTCTGTTTACAAAAACAAATTAGGTTAGAAACTTGTAAAACCGTGAGAGGTCTAGCAACGAGGTCTACAGGAAAATGAAATCTTAAAAATAATGTTTAAAACTGATAAAAAATAATTTGATAAAAAAAACTTGTATGCATAATTAATTCTTATACATTTGACATCTATAGAAAATAAATTATACGAAAAATTAATCAATCTATAAATGTCATGAGTAAATGTTTCAAATTGATAAGAGTTTGGATAGATAGTTTAGGGTTTAGTTGTCCAATTCTTAGGGTTTAGATAGTTTCAATTTGTATTTTTGTTTTTGGTTGTTTTTTTTTATCTATATTTAATTGTTTCGTTATCCAAACCATAAATATTGTAAATAGCAAACAAAATTTGATATTTGGTTCATGTTTTTTATAAAATTTGTGGTTTAGGGTTATGTAGACCTCACCTATAGACCGCGCAAACAAACAAATGCGGGAATTTCAAAATTTTAAAAGGAAACGAGCGGGAATTATGAGCGCGAACCAAAATTTCAAATTCACTTAGACCGCAGTACTAGACCGCAATCCCTCGGGTGTATAAATAGAGATGTAAACCCTAATTTGTAATTTTCTTGAAAGAAATTATTTGGTCCGCGTCACCGCCGGTCATCCTCCGCCGCTGTTCTAATCCGTCTTCTTTCTCGCTGTCGACAGTTTCAAGTGTTCCGGCGATCGTATTGGTTAGGTTTTCTTCTATTTCATTTTGTGGTTGAGATCTTGTCATTGAATAATTACTGTTTTTATAATAACTGATATATTCTCATCGTACACAGGAATGGGGCGCTTTAGCTGGTTAACTGAGGGTTCGAGTAGCTCTGACCAGCTGGCTACTCGAAGCTCTGCTAGGGTAGTCAGTAAAGACGACGAAGATGTGAGTTCTCATACCAGCCGAGATATAAGCTATGGAATACCGAGCAGATGCTACTGCGGTTTCTTAACTCCGCTGAAAATGATGGACCATACGGACGAGCATCCTGGGCGGATATTTTTTGGATGCAAGAATTATAAGGTAACGTTAAATGTAAATCATTTTTGACATCTTAAGTGGCTTTGTTTTACCAAAAAATTTGAAGAGATTTGTTTTTGTCATCAATGCAGCTAGGTTTCCCACATCTTATGAAATGGTGGGACGAGGCTATGATGGAGGAATTTCTACAACTCAAATGGGCCTTCGACAACCCTCGTTTTGGCTTTCCCCAACCTGAAACTGAAGAACGCAAAACCTTGCTTCTGACTGAGGCAGAGTTAACCGATTTGAAGAACCAAGTTCTTAAGATGAAGCGTTTAAGAAGACTAACGTAATTGCCGTGCTTGTCTGTTTTATTAGCTACTTTGTGTTTGATTGATGAATGTAGATATTTGTGTTCAAACACTTAATTTGGTTTTGCGTATTGCATATCACTGTATTCCTAATCACAGACCTCTAACGTAGACCTCGAAATAGACCTTAGACGTAGACCTCAAAATTACACACTGGGATTGAGACCTCTAACTTAGATCTGAGATAATGTTGACACGAATCAGAGACATCTAACGTAGACCACAAACGTAGACCTGCAACTATAAATTACGGTTGAAAAGAGGAAACCGTAATTTAACCGTCAACATTAAGAAATAAGATAAGATAAACCTAATCGAATTGAAAAATTAGTCGAGTATAGTTTATCACATAAGATAAACCGGTTCAGTTAAATCGAGCCAAAGAAAACCAAGTTAAACCATTTAACCGACATATATATATATGAAAAACCGCTGTGGTAAGCCTCATTCGTAAACCTAATATGTGTCTGACCTTTCGCTCTCCGCTAGAGGCGATTTCGTTGTCTCCCCTGATTACACAACCGCTGTATCCCCCGCTTACACAACCGCTGTATCCGCCGATTACACAACCCGCTGTCTCCGCCAATTACACAACCCGCTGTCTCCACCGGTAAGTTCTTCTACTTGAAATCGAAATTCTAACTCCTTTAACTCTATCTCCCACTGAAATTTCTTTGGCGTTTGCATGTCGTGGTTTAATCCCTAATCCTTAAACCCTACTCCATAGCCGTCAGACATAGCCCTCCCACTTGGTTGGACTTAATAATTTATAATCGTTTTGTAGGATGTCAAAGCCGACATTCCCAGGAGATTCTACACCAAAGGAGGCGATCCGGACGCAGGGAAAAGCATTTCCAGGTGTAGCAAGAACACCAAGCTCTTTGATAGTCTCCGAAAGCTCCTCACCGACGACGAATGGAATGAAATCAGTGACTCCAGGATTGGTATCTTCCTAAAGTTCCGTGACCTTCAATTCGAGTGGGCTTCACGGATTGCGCATGCCATGCTCTGTTTCCAGGTTGTATGCAAGAAGAAGTATGAGATATGGAGCGCTGTGGGGGCAAATCCGATAAGATTTTCATTGCACGAGTTCTCAGCCATCACCGGCCTCAACTGCGAGTATGTTGAGAACCTAGAGACACCTGATGCTCCAGCAACGGATGCCGTGTGCGAGTTCTGGGAGAGGTTGGGTGTCAACGTCGAGGTAGGGCCTAGCATTGACCAGCTGGCTGAAGCTTGTGAGTGGGCAGGCGAGTGGCCAAGGGAGGATAAGCTTAGATTGGGCTACCTAGCCATATACGCAGGCTTCATTCAGGCCCGTAGATCCGCTGCCGAGACACCTGTCAAGCTAGCTAGGCTTGTGTTGGATTTGGAGAAGTTTGAGGAATACCCGTGGGGCCGAGTTTGTTTCTTGCAGCTCATCAAGTCCATTAAAGGAGTGGATTTGGAGAAGTCGGGTTATGTGCTGGAGGGTTTCATCGAGGTTCTCCAAATTTGGGCTTTTGAGAGCATGCCGAATTTTGCAGAGAAATACGGTGCTCCTCTGCCATCTAAACCATCACCACCGCTCCTTGCGTACAAGGGTATTCAAGGCAAAAGGTACATCGTGGAGGCAATGCTGAAGCAGGTAAACATAAATCTGAGAATCGAGTAATTGCAGGCAAGTAGTTAGTAGATAGACCTGGACTCATTTTGTTTTGTTTTTGCAGGTCGTTTTTAAAAACTGTGAGTTGTCGATAGGGAAGAAGTTTATCCACGCTGGGATGATGATGTAGAAGATTTGTACGTCGACAACATCATCAAGGCAATCTACGGGGAGTTAGGTGGTCGGTGGAGGTGGAAGCCAAGACTGGGACGAGGAAGGTGTCTTGGTCTCCAATCACCCGCGAGTGGACGTGAAGCCTCCAATAAAAGTGGAGGCTAGTTTCACAGATTCGAAGAAGAGACCTCGTCCTACTCCTCCATCAAACTATGATGATATCGAGGAGACGTTGCAGAGGTTGATTTCTGACTGCACCCGGACCTTGTCTGCTGATCTGAAGGCAGGGTTCCAGAAGTATGACCGGCAACTAGCTGCACTTACCTCGACAGTTGCTGGTATGGAGCGTAGTGTGAAGCAGCTGATGGATGTAAGGCTTCAGGAGCAGCGTAGATCCGACGATCCCTCTCCCAAAAAAGATGAAACCGGCGAAGAAGATGAGACCGGCGCCAAAGAAGATGTGACCGGCGCCAAAGAAGCTAAAACTGCTCAACCGGTTAGTACTGATCCCTCTCCCAAATCTCTCAACTCTTCTAAAGTGCAAGATAAGCGTAAAGTGCAAGTTAAGCCTGTCCAGATAGGGTCCTTCGACCTAGAAAATTGAAGACCAAGTAGAGCCCAATCCGTTGTTTTTTTCAATCTTAAACATAAACTTTGTCACGTTTTTCTTTCCTTGCAAATCATGTGTGTAATTTTAATGAACCTGTTTACTTGACTTACAATAAATGTTCCGAGAGTGTTTGTGCCTATTTGTTGTGGTCTGAATTGTTTTTCAAACTCAAATTGTCCTCAAATGCAGAACCAAAACGCCGGTCCATCCTCAGTGATAACCGTGACGACAGCAGCATTGCATATGTTAAGACCTATGTGCCAAGCAAAGAAGAATGCCTAGCAGACATCAGGAAGAATCAGAAGTTCAAGGTTTAACGCAGAGGGAAAGGAAACTGGCCCCATCTCAAAGTCTCCGTTCGTGGGAAACGTTACGGTTAAGGATCTCATACGTAACAAGAAGCAGCGCTTAGAGGTCTACAATCCGTATATGCCCGAAGACAAGAATGTTCGGAAGGAACTAACGGCGTTCCTGAAGTCTACAGCGTAAGTAACCCTCGGAAATATTTCGTATAATTCCGATTATTGTGATTAGTATACTAATTACACACTTTTGCTTTAGTGGGTATCCAAAGCTTGACAAGGATAAGTTTCCCGTGTGGTATTGGTGGTGGGAACTCATTACGCAGCCGCAATGGCTATCGGACTCGGTAAGCATTAGTACACCATTTAGAGAGGTCTATGTTTAGACCTCGATCGTAGACCTCTGTCATAATTCTCTTTTGTAGACCGCATATTGAGGTTTAGTGTAATTGTAATCTAATATTCAATCTTTTTCTTTTCATCAGCACATGGACGCGGTCATCAATCTTATGCGGCTCAGAATGAAAGAACAACCGCACAGCTTTAGAAGTGACCGGCTTGTCTCATCGATAGTGGTCTTAGTCTGTTTTGGACGGCAAAGTATGACGATTTCAAGAAGTCTGAGCCTAATGTCTTTGGACTTGGGAAGTACCTCCCACCTGACTCACTTGACTACTTCCAAGGCACGAAACCAGAATTCTGCCAGACGAATAAACGATGGTGCAGGGACATTGACGAATATATCTCCGTTTAACATTGGGAAGAACCACTGGGTTGCTCTATTCATCTCCTTACCGAAGAGGCACATCACGATCTGGGATAGTTATCCCTGCCGTATGGACGATGAAGAACTGGACGGAGGTGGAACCCGTGGCTGTGATGATGGCGTACATGTTACGCGAGATGGCACTAGTGGAAGAACGTGACAACTATCCGTTCGATAAATTTACTCACGAACGTATTGCTGGTGTGCCGGAGCAAAAGGGTCCCGGGGATTGCGGTGTCTACTGTCTGAAATACATCGAGTGTCACGCAACTGGAAACGCTTTTTCAGCCTCTTCACTGTGCAACAAGAACATCAAGGCAATTCGGAGTAGGTATGCTTGTGACATTTTCAAGGAGACCGATTGCAAGGGACCGAGGATCCGTGACTGGGACGGTCTTGATCCTTTCGACGGGAGATGCTGATCTAACTTTAGGAACGGCTTCAGTGGGTTAATTTTATTGTGCCCCTCTACTAACGGTGAAAGGGAGGGTTTATATTTTTTTTGGCCCCTCTTGACAACATTGATCTCACCTTTTGTATAACTATTTTGCGTAACTATTTCGGATGTATCTATTCGGACTCGCAGTAAGCAATGAAATGAAATCCGTCTTTAGTATTACGAGCCCGAGAACAAGGAAATCATCACTTAGTATTAAACAATAATAATGAAAATAGTACGAAAGCAATATTAGACCGCCAGTGAACATCTCGTAGACCTCCACGAATGTATAAGTAGATCGCGAGATAACGTCGTAGACCTCGTAAACCTCCAGTGAAGTTCCGTTAAAGCCTCGTAGACCTCCAGAAGTTCCGTGAACGCCTCGTAGACCTCCGAAGACCTCTCGTAGACCGCCGAGATTATTTCTCAGCAGGCTTGGACACCTAGTGAAGAGCAAACAAATTACAGAGGTTGTGTAATGAAAACTAATGGAATGCGGGACGCACGAAGCTTACACAATACGGGCGCGTATGTCCTGGTTGCTTGCATTTGGAGCAGCTGTAAACTTTGGGCTTCTTCCTTCGACTCTTGCCTTTCTTCCTTAGACTTCCTAGAAATTTCCAGCCACGACTGCCATCTTGATTTCTTCTTACGACCAGGCCCATCCTTCGGTTTTGGAGGTCGGCACCGCTCGCTCTTCTTCTTGTGGTTGTCAATTTCCTCCTCAGGATATATAGGATGGGCGTAGGTCGCATACAAGCATTCCTGCGAGTATGTGTCACATGTATGGTGTGAGACGTGCACACCAGCTGAGGCAAGCGCTGCAAGGACATGTGTACAGGGCATTTTCTCGACTTGGAACACTCCACACTCACATTTACCCTGTTCTAGATCAACTACGAAGTGCGAACGTCCAGAAGCAACATGGAAACTAGTTGCATCTATCCGCTGAACATCCATTGACTGAGCGTAATGTTCACGGATGGCCAGTATATACTCAACTCCCTTGCTGTATGGTGTCTGCAGACTTAAAGCATCTTCACGCCTTTTGTAGAACCACCGCCCTAACATCTCTCTAATAAACTGGAGTAGAGAGGGTATGGGAAAACCCTTTGCCTTTTTAATAGCCGAGTTGATAGATTCAGCAATGTTGCTCGTCTTGATGTTGTACCTATCACCGGGAAAATGTACTCTAGACCAAAGCTTAGGGTCGGCCAACTCCATGTATGCTGCGAGGTCTGGGTGCGCAGCTCTTAGTGAGTCCATGCACCGATTATATTCAGCTAGAGTGTGGGCATAAGCAGCTCCTTTAACCAGATACATAAGCTCCTTACCACCATATGTCTTGATAATATTTTGCTGAAGATGGTAGTAGCATATTCCTCTAGTGACCCATGGAAGCACATTCACACAAGCATTTTCAATGGACAATGCTCTGTCTGAAACAATGACCATCGGATGTGGTGAGAAACAAGTCTGTAATTTATCAAAAAACCATCCCCAAGACTCATTAGTCTCCGCATCAACAACACCATATGCTAGAGGAAATACTTGAAAGTTTGCATCTTGTCCACATGCCACGAGTAATGTGCCTCCGTATTTCCCAGTAAGGTGTGTTCCATCAACCACAATAACCCTCTTCAAGTACTGAAATCCCGCTGTTGAAGCCGCTAACGCCACAAAACAGTACTTGAAGCGATCTTCTTCATCACAGAGCAGGTGTGTTATAGTGCCAGGGTTTGCTTGCTTCAGTCTTCTAAGGTAGGAAGGAAGGTTAGCATATCCATCTTCTGGAGTTCCCCTGACAAATACTTGAGCGAATTTGAGAGCCCGGTATGACGTTGTATAGGTAAGATTCAGCCAAACATGATCCTCATCGAATCTGCAATTTGTCGAGGGACAATTCCATCTATGAGTCCAGTCCGCTCCACAAACAATTGTCCAATATATCTTGGAGTAGCTCGTCTACGGTGAGCTACACGGTCCATAATTGAACAAGTGTGACCCTTTACGTACTTGGTAACCCAGAAGCAATCCGGTTCATTCTTCACAGCTGCTCTCAACTTCCATGCACATCCATTGACAACACATTTTGCCACAAACAAATCCGTAGTGGACTTGTAGACTTTAAATGCGAATCTTGCCATCACAGCCGTCAGTCGCAACTCAGAAAGAAGGGCTTCTTTAGAGGCATAGCTGTGATTTACCAGAATAGTGTCACACCAAGTGCCTGTGAACCCTCCATTTCCACCATTCCAAACACCTCTACGGAGCCTTTCACGGAAAGACAAACTCTCTTCACCCTCTTCCTCATCTTTCACCTTGCCATACTTACTATAATCTGCATCGATATCGTCGGGGTTGTCGACATCATCAGCACTATCATTGTCATGAGTATCATCAGATTCATCTTCTGAATTTACATCCCATGCTTTGTCATTCCAGTTTACATCATCAGACTCGTTATCATCCCAGCCTTCATCACCGAATTCTTCTTCCACGTGTTCTTTATCCACCTCTTCAGACTTTTCTTCTTGGACACACTCATGTATTGGTTCGTTGTAGTTCCTTCCCATACCAACGCGGGTCGAGACGCAAAGACGGACCACATGCTCCTTACATAACTCCACCAAGCTCCCAACTTGTCTGTCGTTCGTCACATACATAGGAGGTGAATCCGTTGGCAATTTCTCCATCATAGCAGCTGGTAATGGATATGACAACTCCAGCAGCTCGCCATTAACTTGCAACATGTAGTCGTTCACAACCATTTCAACCAGCTCTTCATGTTTACAATCATCCTGCAGGTAGAACATTCTACCTCCTCTCGTTTTATCAACCTCAAAATACCATTTTCTGTCTCTGATAGTCCACGCTCCATACACGGATGCCAAACAAACCATTGATCTGCATGAAAACCAAAGGGAAAACACATTAATATATATTGATGGATGCCTGTAGACGGAAACGTTAGACCTCCACGACGGCTGCGGTCTACAGAGTTTAACCAAGTTACCAAATTTAACCAAAAATCTAATACAACCTTCATTACATAACATTAGCATGCAAAACTCTCATAGGGACAAGTTATTAGGCTAACAGAAGTATTTATGAAAAAAAATTAACAAAAACAATTATAAATTTCGCAGAAAATCGATTTTAAAAAACGGAAAAAATGTAGACCTCCAACCAGATCTAGACGTAAACCTACTAAAGAGGTCTAAAAAAGGTTAGTTTTGCAATTGACCAAGGGAAGACTTTTTTGAGATCTACAAATGCGGTCTACAAAAAAAGAGGTTAGTTTTGCAATTCATCCAAAAAATTTGGGTAGACCTCACGAACAAAATAGACCTCAACCTGTAGTCTAGCAAAATTATACGGTCTACTGGGGAGGTCTACGAAATCTGTAGACCTCAGACAGGTTACTTTTGCAATTGTTTGAAATTTTTTTCCACCTGTAGACCACTATCGTAGACCTCCTATTATTTTGCGTTGACCAACTTTTTAAGGTAGACCTAAGACTGAGATCTAAAACCTATGTAGACCTCTGACGTAGACGTCAGCTTAAAATTTGTTGTTATAGACCACATTAAGAGGTCTAAGGTAAAAACCAGAATTTCAGTCAATTGCAAAACTAACCTCTTTGACCAATAGACCTCATCTGTAGACCTAAAAAAAAAAGCCCTCCCTTGGTCAATTGCAAAACTAACCTGTTTTCAAAATAGACCTCTGCTTGAGGTTTACGATATTTTTTTTGTTTTCAAAGGGATTATTTAGAACTCTCTACGCGGTCTAACTCCACAGATTTGTCTTAGTCAATTGCAAAACTAACCTATGCGTTGACCTATAGACCTAACCCTGAGATCTACGATATCGACTCAGATCTGAAAAAACGAAAATGGAGTAAACCACAACCTGGCCGTCGTCTTTAGGGCCGCCGAGGGATGAAACTTTGTCTTTAAGCCTTCACAACCGTTCGGCGGTGGTGAGGAAAGCCACAAACCCGATTTTGAGAAAATCAAGAACTTGAAATATGAAAAAGTAGAATTAGAGAGTTTTTGGGATGAAAATGTGGAGAAAATGATAGTGTTAGAGTGTATGGGATGTGCAATTATGTTTGGAGTATCACAATTACTAGTATCAAGCATTAAAAGCTTGGAGTTAGTTGAAAATGGTGGTTGAGTTCATTGATGAGAGTGGCAGTTTCGTGAATAAGTGTAGAGGATGAGGTTCTGTTGGTCTTCTGGTCGAACGTAGACCTCAGCCGTAGACCACCGGCCAAAAAAGTAATGGCATTTTCGTTATTATCTGGACAAAACCAGGGTAAAGCTAAAATGAAAAAAACAGCAGGTTACTTTTGCCATTGACTTCAAATTGTGGGTTAGAAGTGCAAGAACCTCTTAATTTAATTAATTAATTGATTTAAAATATATATTTTAATTATTTTAAAATATGGAAAATTATTATTTAATTATAAGAATTATATAAAAGTTGAGAATAGAGTTATAATTATTAATAATTATTTAATAATTGGAAAATGATATTTAATAATTATTGGAGTTTATAAATATGATTAAATATCTAGTAAATTGCGTAAATGGCTCGTAGGCAGAGTGATTGCCTCACTAAGTATTTATTAAATACTTATGCAACTCCATTCCAATGTGTTGCAGGTAAAATATTTGCTAGACTTGTCTAATTATTATTTGCTTCCGCTGAACTGATTTATTTGTTATTGACATTTATTTATTTAATTTATTTTAAAGATCTTCGCTAGAATTGATTAGTATTTATTTATACAAAAAAAAAGTGTTGGTTGTTTCATGTTCTCATTGCTCTCATGCTCACTCCCTTCTATCTCTTGATTAACCTCTTCCCCTTCTTCATTTGAGGATTCACCCCTTTCTCCCCTTCCATGGTTCATTCCAATCTCGAATTCTCCCAATTCACTCTCACTGCTGATTGGGTCATTCCTCCTCTTGGTTCTCCTCTCTTCCCTCAACCTCTCAATCTCTTCCTCATCTTCCTTGGTTAGTGTGTTAAGCATTCTCCTTGCTTCTCTCGTTATCTCCTCCTTTGTGAACGCTGCCTTGCTTCTTTCACCTCTCAGCATCTTAAACTTGTTGATTCTTAAAGTTGAGTCCCTGAAATTTATCAAAAACTCAAGGAATTAGAGTTGGGATTACTGGTTCGGTCAGCTCGACACTCAGCTCGATCGAGTCAAAAAACTCAAGTGACAAACTCGATTGAGCTAAGTGAATACAGAGTAAGACCGAACCTACATCAAACAATAAGAGCTGGAAAGGATGCTAAACAATCAAATCAAACCAAGGACATCAAGAACTTGAAACAATAAGCAATTCTAGTGAAAACCAAAGCATCTTAACCAATACCAAACTCAAATTCAAAGGATTCAAGGCATGCAACAAGTTTATTGGTAAAACAGAGGTGAGGTGAGGTAAATCCGCAAAACTATATAGAAGGAGAAGGATATGAAGGCAAAAACAATCCCACAAGGGGCACATGCAGCAAAAATCAAAGCGGAAACAAGCAATGGAGAGGAATCAAGATGAAGGATTCAAGGGTTTTAGGGTTCATACCTTGCTTGAATGATGATTGAACTACAGTAGCTAGAACCAAAGCAAACCAAGATATTGAACAAAAGGAATCGCAAAACTTAAGAGAGAAAGAGGGAATTTCGATTTTTTTTCTTGTGGTGATGAGAGAGATGGATGATTTTCATAAAATTATAATGTGGGAGAGATGGAGAAGGGGGTTCGATCGAGTTATGGGGAAAAGGGAGTGTTTGAGATGTGTGGTTGAGATTAAAAGGTGATTTAAAGAGGGGACAAAAGGCAAGGGGTTTTCTCATCGATTTCAGGATGTGGGGGACCAAAATTAACTTGTGGGATCCACTCCCTTGACCAAGGAAACGGTTGGAAAAATTTGAATTTTGAAAACTTACCTTGGTCGAGTTGTGGAACTCGATCGAGTTGCCTTTGTTTTAAGCTTGATCGAGCTGTTGGTCGAGCTGGCTCCTTTATCACCTAAACTTAACTTATTGAAAGGTTAAAGACACAAAACTAAATAGAGATTGCAATAAAGAGTATGTACAAGGATATTCATGGGATTTCCTCCCAAATGAGCTTTTTTAAGGTCCCATAGCTTGACCTTTACCTCTTTAGGCATTGGTTGAGCTAGTCCCATGATGATAGGATTTGTGTGTGTGTGTGAAAGATATGAAATGAAATGTGGTGGAATGCAACAGTGCAAGTGCAATCATATTACACAATCATATTAATAGATACCGCAAGTGCACGGATCGTTGGTAGTATGGGTTATCGAACACAAGGACCAGATAAGTTACACTATGAGTTTATGAGATTCAAATCAAGCTAGGACTCAAGTATGGAGGTTTGTTGTTGTCACAGATTCAAAGCAAAGCAAAGTAAATAAGGTGAAAGCAATTGAAGAAAGCATTGGGCATAGAGAATTCTCAAGGTTTCATAGATTGGATCAAGCAAATAGATAGGAAAATCGATAGTTTTGTTCTAGAACTCGAATCAATAAGTATAATTGACCTACTCCCGCAGTGCCAATTACTATGTCTAACAACCTAAATCACACAACTTCCGCAGGTAATCAAGAGATTAAACATGTAAGAACAGTCCAAATTCGATAGCTCTACTTCCGTAGGTCTAGTTCGCAAAGCCTTGCAATTCTACTTCCGTAGGTTACTATGCCTTGCTCATCTAAGTTGATTCAAGAGATTTATCAAGCGGTCAGAAAGTAAATCTACCTAAGAGCATTAGCTTAGACGGTCAATCAAGCTACAAGCAAGAAACACAAACTTAGATGAAGAACTTTAATGATAAAACCCTAATCTAGCAACCTAACAATCAATCCATGAAAACCCTTTGAAAACTCTTAAACCAAGAAGGAGATTACTCAAACATAGTAACAGAGATCAAGCATAGAGATGAAGAAGAATTCATAATAAAACTTGATAGAAAGTAAAAGGGTTTAGAAATCTCCTCTATAGTGTTACAAAGGTGAGATCTTCTCCCATGAAGCTCTAAAACGAAATCAATGTAAACTCTCTAAAACTAATGCGGCTCTGCCTTCTAATGAGGCTAAAAAAGAGTATATAGTGCCCTAGGTCTTCCCAAGTCGGTTTAGGTTAAATGGGCTGAGAATTGTCGAAACTGCATAAGTGGGCTTCTTGTTCGCGGACATCGGGTCGACCGTGCAAGGGATGTGGTCGGTCGTCGGGGTCGGCCGTGGTCTTGGTAGTGAGGTGATGATCTGGACCGATCATGGTCCGTTGCCTTCCTGGTCGACCGGTGCGTTCGGCCGGATGCTTTGATCGCATGTTGAGGAATGGGTCGAGCGCGGTTCATTGCTTCCCGGGTCGCACGGTCTGGTCGGCTGTGAGATGCTGGTTATATGTTTTTAAGTGGGTCGAGCAAGGTCCATTAAGTCTCTGTACAGCCGCCTTGGTCGGTCAGTGAAGGCCGAGGGAAGCCAATTCCCTTCCTGTCCGGCCGAGTGCGTTCGGCCGGCTGTGGACCAGTCTTCAGTACAAACGTGATATCTCCTAAACGGCTACTCCACATTGCATAATTCCAACAACATTAGAACACTAAATCATCTGGCTATCTTGGTGTTGAGTTTCATTGAAATCCACTGAGTGTAAGGGTCCAATCCGCTGCTGCTCGTCTGACATCCTGATGCAGTCCGATAAAGCACCTCGGTATATGTCTCAAGGAAATAGAGATATCTCCCAATATACTCGGTCAAATTGATTGATTCCAGTTGTATTGCAAAGCTAACTCATGTATTCATCGCTTCAAACTGGATTTGATGAATTATATTGAGTAGAATGTTTTTAAGGCCCTTCTAAATTTGATGCTACATCCTGGAGCGGTCTTGAAGTCCAAATCCTGTGTTTTGCTCCAAAATGCATCTTTTGACCTGTTTAGACTTTAAGTACTATAAATCCATAAAAACTACCTTTTTAGATCAGAAAGCCATTAAAAACCTTATGAAAAGCTAGTAAAACCATATAAAAAGCATGTAAAATAGAGGTATATCACAGCTCGACCAAGGACTCGAGTCGAGTGGGAACAGAGTAACCGAGCTCGATCGAGTTTAGGGTCGAGTTGAAGTAAAAAGCAATAAAGGCAGCGACTTTAACAAGCTAAAGCGAACAATTAGGGTCTAAGACAGGGTTTTACAATCAGAGGAAGGCTATACTTAATCAATCTTGCTCTCAAACAACTTGTATCAAGGTATCTCTTGATATTGAGCTTCTCAATGCCTAGCTAACCCTTTCCCAAGGTGAAAGCTATCAACCAAGACTTGATCTCAGAAACAGGGGGTTAGCCAGTGAGAATCAAGCCTTGGAGGCCATAGGATCATTGCTCAAACTAATCCATCCAACCCCTATGAACTCCATTTCGAGAGCAAGAGTTATTGGAGCTCTTAGTGGACCTTTTCCAACGATTTCCATCACTTCCATGTGGAGAATCGCCTATGGACATACAAGCCAGGGGTAGTGGTCATGTAGCCTTAAGGTTTGTCCAAAAGAGAGAGATTTCTAGATTAAGAACATAAGCAAGAAGGATTAAGCATAAATCCCCTAATCTATCCCATCTTTGACCCTAAGGGAAACTACTCACTACACATGAATGTAAACACAAGCAAATGCAATGAAAGAGACATCATATGAAAGAGGAGATGAAGATAAACAACTTTTATTGAAATAAGCAAGTGCAAATACAAAAGATATCCAGGATCTAGGATTCAAGAAGCAAGAGCTTCAAGAACACAAAGATGGGATTAGAGTTCAAAAAGTAAAAGACAATAAATTAAAAGAAAGCTAAAACAAAATAATCTAAAGCTTGGTGGTTTTTTCGTGGCTTTTAGCCTTTAAATACAAGAGGATTTAGGTTTAGGGTCAAAGGAAGTCAAGGGGGAAGCAACATTTTTCGGGTTTGACTTTGACTTCTCAGCTCGATCGAGTTGAAGCTTGGCCGGTCGAGTTGAGGAACTCGACCGGTGGTCGAGTAGGTGGTCGAGCTGGTCTTCAAGATGGCTTCCTCCTTCTTCCTTTGCGTGTCCAGTTGAGCTGCGTCCATGCACCAAGTCCTCCTATCCCAGAATGCTCCAAAAGACCTATTTCAAAGGACCAAACATGCATATGTATGCAAATGCAACCTAAAACTACTATGAATGCATAAGAAGAGAAAAGGAACAAGATATGATGCTAATGGATGCTAAAACTATGCAAAAGATGCATAAAAGATGTACTAAAACTATGCAAAAGCAAGAAGGATTAAGCATATGAAACCTCTAATCTATCCCATCTCAAACCCTAATGGGTAACTACTCACTACACATGAATGTAAACACAAGCAAATGCAATAAAAGAGACATCATAAGAAAGAGGAGATGAAATAAACAACTTTTATTGAAATAAGCAAGTGCAAATACAAAAGAGATATCCAGGATCTAGGATTCAAGAAGCAAGAGCTTCAAGAACACAAAGATGGATTAGTTGCTAAAAAGTAAAAGACAATAAATTAAAAGAAACTAAAACAAAATAATCTAAAGCTTGCAAGAGGATTAGGTTTAGGGTCAAAGGAAGTCAAGGGGGAAGCAACATTTTTCGGGTTTGACTTTGACTTCTCAGCTCGATCGAGTTGAAGCTTGGCCGGTCGAGTTGAGGAACTCGACCGGTTGGTCGAGTAGGGGTCGAGCTGGTCTTCAAGATGGCTTCTCCCTTCTTCCTTTGCGTATCCAGTTGAGCTGCGTCCATGCCAAGTCCCTCCATGCTCCTTGTCCCATATGCTCCAGAATGCTCCAAAAGACCTATTTCAAAGGACCAAACATGCATATGTATGCAAATGCAACCTAAAACTACATGAATGCATAAGAAGAGAAAAGGAACAAGATATGATGCTAAATGGATGCTAAAACTATGCAAAAGATGCATAAAAGATGTGCTAAAACTATGTAAAATGCAAGTACATCAACACCCCCAAACTTGAACTTTGCTTGCCCTCAAGCAAACAAATAGAACAAGAAAGAGATGAGGTTTGAAAACAAGCTGATTCAACACTTAAAAACATGTCCTCAAAAGCGATTTGCTAAATGTCCAACTTAGAGATTCTAGAATGCAACAAGGTGAGAGATATTCATTAAGATTTAACCATGCTTATCAACATCAATCCCACTTCACAGTCACTCAAACAATGCATTCAAATCAGCAAATCCCTTTAACATTCATTAAGCAAAAACAGTGAACCAAAAACATGCAAGATCAATCAACTCATTTGGTTTCAAGGGTTTATGGGTTAAGAGACAAAGAGGGTCTCTTTTGTATGGTGGTTTAGTAACAGGGATCTCTCAAGAAAGTGGCTTTGCTTTGGCAGAAGGCTAAGTGTTAGAACCAAAGATGATGCAAGAACAGCAGCTCGAGCCGCCTAATCCTAACTCGATCGAGTTCAACACTTAGAGCTTTTTAGAACAAAATCCTAACTACCCTTTTTGGCATTTCGCCTTTGAAACTGAGGAGCTTTGCTCACTTTTCTTTTAAGAACTTCCTAGGGAGAGGCTTCTTGAGGTAACATCTAGCGGTTTGGGATTTTCTAAACACTTAGGGAACTTTTCTTCCTTTTTTTGACACTTGAGGCTTTGCCTTCTTTTCATTCTACTTAGAACCCTTTTTACTTTCCTTTTTTAACTTCCCAAACCTTTACTAGACCCTTTTTAACACTGCCAACTCCCTGGACTTAACTAAACTCTTTTTCCTTTGGGTTTTTCCCAACTTTTACCACTTTTCTGGTTTTTACACCCAACTCGATCGAGCTCGAGTTGGCACCCCCAAACTTAGCCTGAAAACAATCCCAAGAGAACTAGACAACTAGAACTACTGCCCCTGCCGGTTTAAACACAACACCTTATGCTAAGCAAAGCCAAGAAAGGTTCTCACATTCGCACAAGAGATAATATGGGGTTTGAAATGAAAAAGGCTTAGGTTTAAGGTGTGGTAACTGTCTCAAAGATGGAGATCAGCTATCTGGACAAGCAAAGGGATATGAAAATGGTAAAGAATGTCCAGATATGTATGTGGTAGCCATGAGTTGAAATCAAATGCAAGCATTGGTAATTAAAGATCAAGTTATGGTTCAAATAGATAGGGAAATGCATCAAATCACAGCAATGGTTGAATGAGATGTGCATGCAGTGATATGATCAAGATAAACATGGTTCTTGCTGCTCAATCAATCTCACCCTAATGCACAAAAGAATCTAAAAACAGGGCACTCAAGAAATCGCAAAGATGGACAAGTTTTCAAAGTCAAATCAACAATGCAAGTGAAAATGCAATCCTAAACAAGTCTAACAAATATGAATGCAAAAAGATGAAAATATTTTTGGATTTTTTGAAAATTTTATGATTTTTTTGGTTTTTCTATGCAAAAGATGATGAAAAACTAAGAACAAAGAAAACAAAGGAGTTCCTCTACACAGTAGCTCTTGCCTTCCCCAACTACAATGGAGACCAACCAGCTGGTGATGGACTCCTATTCTTCAAGATAGGCGATGCCAAAGGACGCATCTCCATCTCAGCTCTATGCCAACTCTTTGGACTTCCCAATGAGACAGCACATGACTTCAAGGAGAACTCAAAGAGGAAACAAGCTGTCTTTGCTGATTGGACACACTTTGCCAATGAACCATTCTTGCCTTCAAGATCAAAGGTGTCTAGAATCACTCATCCAGCCATTCGCTATGTGCACCGCCTCATCTCCACCACTTTCCAATGCAAACAAGAAGCCAACAAGGTCACAACCGATGAGTTCTACATCCTCACCACGCATTTCATCAAGAATAACATCCTAAAACCATGAAAACAAGTTTAAATCATCTTTGAACCCTCCCCCAAACTTAAATCACACAGTCCCTTGTGTGAGAGAAATTTAGTGGAAGATTCAAGAGGCAAAACCAAGAAAAATAAAAACAAATGCAAGAAAATATGAAATGGTATGTACAATGGTGGTGTTTGATACCTCAGTGCCCCCAAAGAATTGGGAGTCAAGGTCGTGGTCAGGAGAGGGCAGACGGCCATCAGGAGCGCTCCACTCGACCGGGTTCACCTCTTCATCGTTGAAGTGTGTGTGGCTCCCTTGGCCTTGGTGGAGCTGTGCTCGCTCGAAGCGGTTGTAGGGAGTCCAGTGGCTCTGAGAGAAGTCCGGGTAGGGCGTTGGATCGTACTCGAATCCAGGGTTCTCAAACAGGCCGACTCGACCCTCAGCTCGGTCGAGTTCACTGATCGAGTTGGAGCGTGACCTTGGAACTCTTCCTCCGCCTCTGCGTGTTGTCTCCTCCTTCCCTTGGTCTCAAATGAAGAGGCTCTGTGAGGCTCTTGGGCAGGGAGCCTCCTTGGGGTGGTGAGGAGTGATCTACTCCTAGGGAAAGTAGGAGCCATGGGTCTTCTTCTTCTTGCTTGAAGAACCAGAGACCTTCTTCTCCAAACTTTTGATCTTGCTCACCATCTTGTCCATGGACTTTTGCATTTTTCCATGGCTTTCCCTTGCCACTTGTTGAACCTTTGGAGAAGTCCAATCCTCTTGTGAGCAGCCACAACAGAGGGGTTCATCCTTGGAGCCTCATACTCCTCAAAGTAATAGCACTCAGGCTCACCCAAATCTTCATTCACTGAGCGTGGTCCTCAACTCGATCCTCAGCTCGATCGAGTTCAGGCTCCTCTTCTCGCAAATCCTCTTCATGCCCAACTAATGTGTGAAGTGGGGGGCTGAAGTCAATGTTGTTACCTCCTACAACTGTGGTGAGCTCAGGGTTGGGCAAAGAAGCTTGGAAGGGCCAGCCAATGGATGTGTGAATTTGAATTGGAACCTCCCATCCAACTCCTTGTGTTCAATGAGGAGGTTGGTCTTGCAAAACTTAATATCCATCCATCCTGCTGGAGTAGACCTTCTCTTGTCCAAATGGACTCCAGCTGCACAGAGGATTGGCGTGATGACTCCTCCAACACTAAGCTTCCTTCCCGTTTGAAACCGAGTGCTATAGGCGGTTGTCTTGTAGGAGAGTAGCTGGTCAAGGAGAGGCATGAGATTCCCTGCATGGATTCTATCTCCTCTGATTCTTCTTCCCATCCTTGGTGCGTGAGATGATGGGCTTGATTCCCATGTCAAGGAGCTTCACTTCTCCTTCATTTATTGTCCCAGTGGCTTTCCTTGCAAAGAAGGTGTTGGCAAGCCTTGTGGACATATCTCAGCACTGGGCTCCTGATCTGAGCAGCCTTTGACTTGAAGAAGAGTAATCCTCCTCAGCAATTGTAGCCCATACTCTTTGTAGCTCATCCTCCTTGATATCCCAATGGGTTCCCTCCCCATAAGTGAAACCAAAGGATCTCCAACTGCCTGAAGGTAATCACCTTCCTTTCTCCCTTGCCAAGAACGTGATCCATCCCCAACCTTGATCCAACTCAGCTCGATCGAGCTGCCTTACTTGTGGAACCTCATTGATGCCAAGAACTCACAAGTGAGCTCCTTGTATGACTCCAAGCGGTAAGAGAAGAACTTGGCCAGGCGCATGTTCTTGAGGACCAGCTCCACATCATCAAAGATCCCAAGAGCCTTCATTGTGTCATCATGTGGGTACTTGGTCTCCACAAAGTCCATGGAGAAGAGAGCATCATAATGCTCTTGGTACATGGGGAGCTCATCCTCTTCTTCCTCTGACTCCTCCTCTTCCATGGGCACATTCTCATTGCTCTCATGCTCACTCTCCTCAATCTCTTGATTACCTCTTCTCCTTCCTCTCATTTCTCCCTCATTCCATGTTCACCCAATTCTCAAACTCTCCCAATTCGCTCTCACTGCTGAGGGATCATTCCTCTCTTGGTTTCTCTCTTCCCTCACCCTCTCAATCTCTTCCTCATCTTCCTTGGTTAGTGTCTTTAGTATCCTCCTTGCTCCTCTTATCTCCTCCTTTGTGAACGCTGCTTGCTTCCTTCACCTCTCAACATCTTAAACTGGTTGCTTCTTGAAGTTGGGTTCCTGAAATGCATCAAAAACTCAAGGAATTAGAGTTGTAATGATTGGTTCGGTCAACTCGACACTCAGCTCGATCGAGTCAAAAAACTCGAGTGACAAACTCGATCGAGTAGTGAAAACAGAGTATAACCGAACCTAATTCAAACAATAAGAGCTGGAAAGGATGCTAAAATCAAATTGAACCAAGAACAACAAGTAAATGGAACAATAAGCAATTCTAGTGAAAACAAAGCATCTAACCAATACCAAACTCAAATTCAATTTTCAAGCACATGCAACAAGTTTAATGGCAAAACAGAGGTGAGGTGAGGCAAATTCACAAGATTATATAAATAGAGGCAAAAATGAAAGCAATTACTCAAGAACAAGTCCACAAGGGACACATGCAATCAAAAATCAAAGAGAAAACAAGCAATAAGGAATCGAGATGAAGGATTCAAGGGTTTAGGGTTCATACCTTGCTTGGATGATGGAAGAAACAGTAGCTAGAACTAAAGCAAAGAGATGAAAACAAGAGAAATCGCAAAAACTTAAGAGAAAGGGTGAAATTCGATTTTCTTGTGGTGAAGAGAGAGATGGATGATTTTCAGAAATTTATAGTGGGAGAGAGAGAAGGGGATTCGATCGAGTTATGGGGAAGAGGGAGTGTTTGAGATGTGTGGTTGAGATTAAAAGGTGAAATAAAGAGGGGACAAAAGCTAAGGGTTTTCTGATCAATTAGGAGTGGGGGACCAAAATTAACTTGTGGGACCCACTCCCTTGACCAAGGAAAACGGTTGAATTTGAAATTCAAAAACTTACCTTGGTCGAGTTGTGGAACTCGATCGAGTTGCCCTGTTTCTAGCTCGATCGAGCTGTCGGTCGAGCTGGCTCCTTTGACACCTAAACTTAACTTATTGAAAGGTTAAAACACAAAATAGATAGAAATTGCATAAATAGAATATGTACAAGGATAAACATGGGACTTCCTCCCAAGTGAGCTTGTTTAAGGTCCCATAGCTTGACCTTTACCTTTTAGGCATTGGTTGAGCTAGTCCCACCATCAAGGGTGATAGTGAGGACTTGAGACAGAAGCTCCTTTAGCTTGGTTGGGTCCCTGGACTGTTCTGAAGTCACCAAGGCCTTGGCTCTAGAGAATGGCCTTGATCTCCCCTTGTACCTTATCTTGTACTCAATCTTCCCATTTTCAAACTTGGTGGGGAACAAAGTCATTGTGAGCTGAGATGGCTTGACTGAAGGGGCCTGAGCTGGTGGATCCTTTCTTTTATCACCTGGTCTTGCCTTAGAGGCTGCATCCTCCCCTTCTTTTAGAGCCCTTCCTAGTGGCTCATCAAACAAAGCTTGAAGGCTCTCTTCATCAAGCACACAAGGGGCTTGAACAAGTCTCAGCTCTTGGCCTATCAGATCGTGGTTTCTCAACTCTAGCCCTCTCAAGACGTGGCTTCTCAATCCTTGGTCCTCTCTCATCCTTATCCTTCCCAACTCTTGGTTCCTTGTCAACCCTTTCCTTCACAACCTTTGTAGCTCCATGACTCTTAGAACTGAGAGTGGTACTGTCAATTGTGGCACAAAAGTCTGAACCTCTAGGCTGCAAGCGATATGACACCAAACTATTCACCTTGTGAAGGATCACTTCTTGCTTGTGAAAGTCTATTGAAGCGCCAACTGTACTAAGGAAAGGGGTTCCCAATAACAAAGGCAAATCCTTCTCTTCTTCCATTTCCATCACAGTGAGATCAGTTTGGATGATGCATTCTCCAATTTTCAAGTGATAGTTCTTGAACACTCCAAGAGGAGACTTAGAAGTTGCATCTCCAAACATGATTGAAGTAGTAGGGCGCTGCAAGGCTCCAGCATGCCTAGCTTCTCTGCCATGGAGAGAGAGATCAGATTGATGCTTGCTCCAGAATCCACTAAGGCATTGTCAATCTCAAGATGCCCAAGTGTGCAAGGGAGAGTGAATTTCCCTTGATCTTGACCTTTGGTAGGAAGGTGGGTGAAGTAAGCAGGTTGAACTGATGAGTAGACTCTTGTAGGACCTCTGAAACTTTATCACTGTTGGCTAACATCCTTGACCATTTGCATTTGATCAAATGCCTCACTCATGCTATCCATAGTAGGCAACTCAATTCCAATCCCACTGAGATCTCTTCTGAACTTGTGAATCACTTCCTTGTGACCTTGACTAAGTAGGCGAGACGAGGAAGCGGCAACCGGTTGATAAGGATCAAGCAAAACAGGCTGTCGGTCGGACTCGATCGAGCTAGAGTTGGACTCGATCGAGCTGCCGATCGAGCTTGTCGTGCGAGCTCAACTGGTGAAGTGTGAATGGCCACAGTAGGTGCATGCACTTCTGGTTGATCAATCTGGACTCCAGGAGCCTCAGCAGCAACAATCTCTTCATCATTCAGCAGTAAACAAAAATCTTCAATGACCCTTTCTTGATCCTCCTCTTCAACAAGTCCTTCTTGAGTGAAGATGACCTTGCACTGTTCCTTGGGGTTCTGAATAGCTTTACCAGGTAGTTGTCCTTGCTTTGTAGCAGCAGCAACAGAAGAAGCATGATTCTCCAGAGAGTAAACCCTTGTGTTGAGGTTCTCGATCTTAGAGTTTATTTCAGCTAGCTTCTTGCTTGTGTCCACTACCCCATCAGCTTGCCCTTGAAGTAGTTGCTTTAGCATTGCTTTGAGCTCATTCTCGTGAAGGTGCAGGCTGGGGTGGTTGGTGATATACCTCTAATTTACCCACTTTTTATACTGTTTTAGCATTGTTTTCTAATGGTTTTTGGCAGGTTTTCTATCTAAAAAGGTAGTTTTACTGTGTTTATAGTGTCTAGAGTCTAAACAGGTGAAATGATGCATTTTGGAGCAAAACCATAGGATTTGCACTTCAAGCCGCTCCATGCACAAGCACCAACTTTAAGAGGGCCCAGAAAAAGATCTACTCAATGGATTTCATCAAGACCAGTTCCCTGCGTGCTCTGATTGAGTTAACTTTCCAACGCAATGGAATGGCCTCATTTGGATGAGTAGAAAAGGAGTTATAACCAAAAGAGTGAAGACTGTCCAGACGGCTCTATCGAGAATCAGCGCCCAACCGCGCAGACCGGCTGGCCGAGAAACGAATGTTCCGCTCGGCCAAATCCATCCGTCCGTCTGAAGTCTCGGCCAAAGTCCAAACCGGCCGATCACGCATCACGACCCGGGAAACATTGTCCCGCGGTCGGCCACGCCACAACGCTCACGCCAGCCGCGCACGACCAAGCCGCGCGAGCCGGGAAAAAGCCTCGCGGCCGCGCAACCCATCTCGCGTACCACGGCCGATGCGCCGTCCGAGCCGGGAAGAACGTCCCACGTCCGGCCGAGAAACATCGGCCAAGTCCATTCACCGTCCGACCACGCGGCCGACCACGAATCCGTCCGGCCCGACCGTTCCTCGACTCGGCCATGACCGACTGTCCGGCCGATCGTCCCGACCGACCGTCCCAACGCCGCGGTCGACCCGAAGCCCTTTTGAAGCCCAAACTTATTTTTCAAGCCCGGCTTAACCCTAAGCCGCCTCTAAAAGACCTAGCACTATATATATATTTTTAGCCTCTTGAGAAAGAGAGCCGCCCTTGTATTTCGATTTCCTACTCTAAGTTTTATTGCAATCATGTTTTCTTCATCTCTATGTGTGTTTGCTTTGATCATGTCTGAGTAATCCACTAGTTAGGTTGCTAGGGTTACTATTCAATGAGTTGCTTGCATGATCTTTGATTTCGATGATTAGCTAGGGATTATATTAGAGTCTTTGTCTCGTCTTGTGCACTTAACTAATGCTGATTGCTTTACCGCGCATCTAGTAATCCGATCTTAGGTTGATTTGAGCCTCGACAGTGCTGTATCATTCGCCGGACATATTCTTTGACAAGCTAGGTTTCTTAGACTGCGAAAGTTGATCTATCTATATCTAGTGAACTGTATCAGAACCTATTCATTCTAATGCTTGATCTTAATCACCTAGGGACATACCAAAAGTTTAGCGACTAGGTAGATTAGCAAAGGAGCCGGAGCCTCGAAAGTGGAATGGTTTTATATTCGTGATCTGTGTTCTAGATGGTTCTTAATATCCCAATATCCCTAATCAATTCAATCTATCATTGTTTCATTGATCATTGCTTGCTTCTCTGCGATAGCCCCTATGACCTAGCGCTTTTCCTTTATTGATTTACAACCTCGTTTACTTGCTAGTTCGGTTCACCATTACAACCTCAATCATACTTTTGTTTTAGCTTGATCCAAAATCCATAGTTTCAAAGTGTACTCAATAGCCAGTCCTTGTGTTCGATACCCATACTTCCGCGATCTGTGCACTTGCAGAGGTCTAGGAGTTTGGTAAAACCTGACTCCACATCAAGTTTTTGGCGCCGTTGCCGGGGACTGCAGCAGTACCTTTGGAACTCGACTAGGATCTAGTCTAGAACCTTTTCCTGTTTTGCTTTTCTTTTGCTTTTGAATTTTCAGTTTTTGATTTCTTTTCTTTGATTTTTGCTTTTGTTTTTGTTTTTCCCTTTTGATTTAACTTGTTTCCAAGACTCTTTTCAGGTGCATGACTAGGAGGTCCAACAAGGACAACCTAGTTGAACATCCAGAGATAGACAAGCTTGAGAAGCAACTTAGGAAGCAGAAAGCCCAAGAGATGGCCGACGAAGCAGCTCGCGCTCACGCCGCTGAAGTGGCGCGCGCTCAAGAAGAAGGAAGAGATCCACCTCCTCCTCCTCCTAATCCACAAGACCTGCTGGAGATGTGAATGCACAACCTCAAGCTGGAGCACCTACAATCGGAGACTATGACTCTGCCGATGCTTTCTTCATGGATAGAAACCCTATCCATCCACCACTTCCTGCAAGGAATGACTATGAGATCAAGCCTCAGATCATTGCATTGGTTAGACAGAACCAATTCAATGGACCTTCCAGCTGAGCACCCTCTTGATCACATAGAAAACTTTGAAGAAATTTGCAGCACTACAAGATCCAATGGAGTCTCTGCTGACTACCTTAAGTGCAAGCTCTTTTCATTCTCTCTTGGCGACAAAGCTTCAAGATGGTTGAAGTCTCTGCCAGCTCACTCCATCACCACTTGGGATGAGTACAAGGCTGCATTCATCAACCACTTCTACACCAAGCAAATCAATTTCTGTGAGAACAAGATCTCCACTTTCGCCAAGCAACAATGAATCTTTCTATGAGGCGCTAGATCGATTCAAGGAGTACATTAGGGACTGCCCTAATCATGGTTTCAATGAGGGAAACCTATGGAACATCTTCTATCGTGGCATAGACCACAAGTACAAGCTTTCATTGGATACACTGCAAGCAATGGAAACTTCATGACCAAGACTGTTGATGAAGCTAAGGTTCTTATTGAGAATCTTGCAGCTAGTGATTGTAACAACTGTCCTGATTATGACCGCTCAAGCCGCACCACTACTAGCTCCCCTGATTCTTTTCAAATGACTGAACTCAAGAACATGATGGCTCAAGTTCTTAAGGGACAGCTCAAGCATATCAATGCAATAGAAGGGATGAGTGATGCTAATGAAGACCCATCAAGAGAATGCATGGGAGATTTCTCTAATGAAGCCAATGAAGAAGATGTGAACTACATTGGAAACTATGGGAACAAGGGATACAATCCAAGCTATCGCCCAAACCCCAACATGTCTTAGAAACCCCAATGTGGAGAATCCTCAAGACCAAGTGTATCCTCCAAGACTAATAACTCAGGAAAGTTTGCTGTGACTTGTATCATCAAAGGTAACATTCTTGAGCAATCTTTGTGTGACACTGATGTACTTGCATTTTACATAGTTTTAGCACATCTTTTATGCATCTTTTGCATAGTTTTAGCTTCCATTTGCATCATATCTTGTTCCTTTTCTCTTCTTATGCATTCATGTTAGTTTTAGGTTGCATTTGCATACATATGCATGTTTGGTCCTTTGAAATAGGTCTTTTGGAGCATTCTGGAGCATATGGGACATGAGGAGCATGGAGGGACTTGGCACATGGAAGCAGCTCAACTGGATACGCAAAGGAAGAAGGGAGAAGCCATCTTGAAGACCAGCTCGACCGTCCACTCGACTACTCGACCAACCGGTCGAGTTCCTCAACTCGACCGGCCAAGCTTCAACTCGATCGAGCTGGGGAGTCAAAGTCAAACCCGAAAAATGTTGCTTCCCCCTTGACTTTCCTTTGACCCTAAACCTAATCCTCTTTGTATTTAAAGGCTCTAAGCCACGAAAAAACCACCAAGCTTTAGATTATTTTGTTTTAGCTTTCTTTTAATTTATTGTCTTTTACTTTTTAGAATCTAATCCATCTTTGTGTTCTTGAAGCTCTTGCTTCTTGAATCTTAGATCCTGGATTAATCTCTCTTTGTATTTGCACTTGCTTATTTCAATAAAAGTTGTTTAATTTCATCTCCTCTTTCTTATGATGTCTCTTTTATTGCATTTGCTTGTGTTTACATTCATGTGTAGTGAGTAGTTACCCATTAGGGTTTGAGATGGGATAGATTAGAGGTTTCATATGCTTAATCCTTCTAGCTTATGGTCTTAATCTAGATTCTCTCTCTTTTGGATAGATCTTAAGGCTACATGACCACTACCCCTGGCTTGTAAGTCCTTAGGCGACTCCCCACACGAAAGTGATGGCATTCGCTGGAAAAGATCCACTAAGAGCTCCAATATCTCTTGCTCTAGACAATAGAGGTCTAAGGGGTTGGATGGATTAGTTTGGGCAATGATCCTATAGCCTCCAAGGTTTGATTCTCACTGGCTAACCCCCTGTTTCTGAGATCATTCCTTGGTTGATAGCCTTCACCTTGGGAAAGGGTTGGCTAGGCATTGAGAAGCCCAATATCAAGAGAAGCCTTGATACAAGGAGTTTTAAGAGCTAGATTGATTAAGTGTAGATTCCTTTGATTGCAAAACCCTGTCTTGAACCCTAATTCTCTCTTTATCTTGTTAAAGTCGTCACCTTTAGCTTTGTTTGTCTCAACTCGTCCCTAAACTCGATCGAGCTGGTACTTTGTCTACTCGACTCGAGTCTTGGTCGAGCTGTACTTCACTGCTTTGTTTACTTTTATTGCACTGCATTTCATTTTTTTAGGTTGTTAGTGTTACTTCAAATCTATAACTGCTTGCTTGACTTTGGTTGTTTCATATTCTCATAGAGTGACAAGTTTCCCATTTTGGATTGATAACCCTTTGTACTACATACTATCATGGTTAAAGGGAATTGTTGACTGTGTTTGTGTTTGCATCTTACCACCTCATCATATACCACTGATTGCATTCCACCATCTCATTTCATATCTTTTCACATCCACACACAAATCTTATCATCAGACACAGGAGCCAATGTGAACATCATGTCTAAGAGGATAGCTGACAAGATAGGCCTCACCAAGATACAGCCATCATCCATCTCCATCAACTATGCTGATTCATTCTCACAAACCCCCTATGGCTTTGTGCCTAATGTGATGGTGCAGATTGGAAATTGCTCTATCCCCACCGATTTTCAGATTGTGGAAATGAGAGAGAGTAGCCATAGACCTCTCATATTTGGAACCCCTTTCCTGTCTACTGTGGGTGCCATATTTGATTTCCCCAATCAAAGAATCTCTTTCAACAAGGTGAACAAGGGTATGTTCTTCCCTATGTGTTCAACAAAGAACTCTTTTGTTGACATGGTCCAAGAGGAGAAAGTTACTTTGAAGCCACCCCAAGAAGGAGAAACTGAAGAAACAATCAAGGAAGATCCCATTCCTAAGCCCAAGCAGCTTGCCACACAAGCAAGGAGTAAGACTAAGGCCCCTACACCAAAACCGCCCAAGGGATCATCCAAGATTGAAGATGAGGCCAAGCCAAGAAGAAGGTTAGAAAACCTAGGTCTGGCCGCAACATGAAGCTTCTATTCCCAAAGGAGCTTATTGATGAGAATCTAGAAGGATTCAAGGAGAAAGTTACAAGAACTCTAAACTTTTTCCTAAGGCATTTGTGCCAAGGGACATCATGGAGAGATTGTCTATCCAGCTGTGAATCACCCACCAGATACTCATTGCAAGGAGAAAAGACTTGGAGGATCAAAGATGCCTCTTGTCTCCATCTTCTCTGAGCGCCAAGCCTTACAGTCAAGCTAAAGACTTAAAACAAGCGCTGCATGGGAGGCAACCCATGAGGTACTTTTACTTTTCTTTCTTTAAATTTCTTAGTTTTTGTTTTGCTTTTGTGTTTTCTTTGTTTTAAGATAGGATAGAAGGAGAAAAAGGTGTGAAAACACAATCCGCGCCAAACCATTGGCCGCGGACGCGCAGAAAAATTTTGGCCGAGCAATTTCCAACCGGGCCGACCGTTACGGTCGAGCCGGGAAGGAACGGCTTATGCTCGGCCGGATTGTTTCAAACGCGCGACAGAAACCGTCCGCGCGGCACGCACGGGCAGAAAGGAACGGCTCGCTCGGCCGGATTCATGTATCGGAACGGACCGACCGTTACGGTCGATCCGGGAAACAAACGATCGGCCTCGGCCGAAATCTCTCGTCCACACGAGATTTGGCCGACCAAATCGCACGGCCGCGACAAAATCCTCGGCCATCGACCCAAAACTTTTCTC